AAGTACCAGGAGGGCAGGCAGCGGGACACTGCAGCTTCCCCCAGTGCTGTCCCCGTAGCACCGGCAGCCCCCCACCATGCACACCCACGTCTCAGACTTCCCCCCACCGGGAAAACCATCAAGCCTTTAAATTGAGGCTCAAGGACCCTCCGAGGTTCCTTAAGCTGCTGGATTTTGACCCACCAGGTCACGAGAGGGAGAGGGCACAGCCGGGGGCACCCATCAGTGCCGACACCGGCTCCTGGCTGGTGGTTCGCCAGAGCTCTGATGCTCCTGGGGACGTTCGTCCCCCAGCTGCAGTGCCTGGGGGTGAGCAAAGCCCCTTGCAGCAGGACAAGGACAGGCAGCGCTCCCCGGACTGCCGGAGATGCCCAACGGGGCGTGCGAGGGCAGTGGAGACGGGGATGGAGAAGGGTCGGGGACGGTACCAACCTTCTTCTTCTCGGAGAGGTCATTCCACATGCGGGCCAGGAGCCGGGTCAGCTCGCTCTCCGACAACTCCGGCCGCTCCTCCTGCAGCTGCTTCCGCTTCTCCTCCGAGAAGATGAACATGGCGGAGATGGGCCGTTTGGGCTTCTCCGAGCTGGCCTGCGGGAGGGACACGGGGCCGTGGGTGGGGGCGAGCACACAGAGGGACCTGCCTCCCACTGGCAGCCTCCAGCCCCAGGAAAAACCATGATGAAGGAACCAAGGAACGAAGCCCTCAAAGCACCCCGAGATGCCAGCAACCCCATCCCATGCCTCTGGCACGCGCTGCCCCATCTCCAGTTGCCGCTCTCACCTTGCCGGTCTCTGGTGAGGACTTTTTGGATGCAGGACTCGTCGCCCCTTTCCGGTTGCTGCCCAGCATCTTCTCTTCGCCTAGCACCCGCTGCTGCTCCTCCTCGGGCAGGCTCTGGGTGACACAGGAGGAGAGACACGGTTAGACAGCCCGACGCTAACGAGGTTTTGATGCGATCAGGGAACACTGGGGAGGGGGAACTAATGCACTCGGTTGTCCTGATCCAAAAGCCACCCCCAGCCAGGGCCAACATCGGGCACTGCAAGCCTGGGTGCGCAGCCTGGGGGTCCTCGTGCCTGTGTCGCCCCCGCCTCGCTGGGCAATGTCCCTCTTCCCCAGCTCTGTCCCCTCCCCCGCTCTCCGCGAAGGCAGGGTGGGCAGGTGCCCGGATCCGGGCGCATCCCTGGGTTTTCCACCCCCTGCCCTCGCAGAGGCAGCCGGGGCCACGTCACGTCCGCCCGGGGACCCAGCACGATGCTGGGACGGCCTCGGTGCAGCTCCCCCCGCCTACGCCCTGGCTGAAGGAAGGAAGCGAGAGACTCG